CCCTTGTTCCCTGCATCGGCAGGTGGACTCTCAACCACTTCGCCACCAGGGAAGCCCGATACTGTGGTTTTGATTTGCATTTCTCTAATGATTAGTTATACTGAGCATCATTTCATATGCTTGTTGGCCATATCTATATCTTCCTTGGAGAAATGTTTATTTAAGCCTTTTGCCTATTCTTCACTCAGGTTATTTATTTTATTACTGTTGTTGTTGTAGTTAAGAGTTCTAGGCATTGACCCCTTATCAGATATTGTTTTGCAAATGTTTTCTCCCATTCTGTAGGCTACTTTTTCACTCTGTTGGTTGTTTTCTTTGATGCACAGAAGTTTTTAATTTTGATGTAGTCTTGTTCAGCAGCTTTAGTTGAAAATTCTAAGACACCAGAAATTAGAACAGACACCTACCCCCAGCCTGGCCTGTGTCCTCCATTTCCTATCTAATGAATGCCACACATACATATCCAATTGCAGAAATCTTGGTATCATTCTTGCTACTTCCGTCTCCTTCCAGATACAGTCTATTACAAGACCCATGGATTTTAACTCCTAAGTATCTTTTAAATTCAACAATTTCTGTTTTAGTTATTCAGAAGCACCATGTTTTACCTGTCCCAGGGCCTTTATACATGCTGTCTCCTCTCTCACAGTTAAGGGTGACTCATTCTGCATGTCCCAGCTCAAAGAACACTTTCCCAGGGAAACCTTCCCTGACTCTCCTGTCATACTTTTTCATGGATTTTTCCTTGTCACTTTCCACAGGATAATTTAATTTTTGTGAGGTGACTTGATTGATAACTTTCTTCTCTGCCACACTAGAAATTAATGAGGGTAGAGAACACACTCTGTCTCTTTTGCGGTCATTGATTTACAATGCTTAGCACTCATCAGGCTTCAATAAATATTTGTTGAATGAATGAAGGAATAGATGAATGAATGTTCTATCCCCTTTCTTCTGGCAAACCAACCACTTTTTAAATTCGCAGATGGATATTTGGCCCCTGGAAATAACAACCCTTCTTCATACTGCCATCTTCTTCCCCCTAAAAGTTAATTTTATTTACATTACACTCATGTAAATTCTTATTTTAATTTGAAGTGTTAAATTTTACATATTTCATCTAATGTGGATGGAGTATATTTGTGTATGCATTTTAGCAACATGATAGCTTCCAAGTTTCCAAGTGCTATTGAAAACTGGTACTGCTTCTGAATTGCAGATGGACACGTGTTCATGCATCTGTAGCCTGGCTAGTTTTTTTTTTTCCTTTTTTTGGTTGACTGATAGATAATAAATTTCACACATTAAAATGTACAATTTGATAAGTTTTAACAGGTGTGTGCACCATGAAACCATCACCACCATCAATATAGTGAACCTCTCCCTAGTACTGAGGGGTTTTTTTTGGTTCTGTTTTTTTTTGTTTGTTTGTTGTTTTGCAGTACGCGGGCCTCTCACTGTTGTGGCCTCTCCCATTGCAGTGCACAGGCTCCGGGCGCACAGGCTCAGCGACCACGGCTCACGGGCCCAGCCGCTCCGCGGCATGTGGGATCTTCCCGGACCGGGGCACGAACCCACGTCCCCTGTATCGGCAGGCGGACTCTCAACCACTGCGCCACCAGGGAAGCCCTGAGGGTTTTTATTAACTGGTCTCTAGTCCATTTTCTCAAAGATTTATCTGTTATCAGACAAGTTACATTTTCTCATTTAGTTTCCTCAGCAACCTCTTAGCTCTCCCTTATTTTTTCCTTAGAAGTTAGTTTTCACACCTTCTGTAGAAATTATATTTTAGATTTCTCAAAGCTTGTATGAAATGGTGTTTTGTGGACATAATATAATAACCAACATAGTTCTTGGCCAGACTGTTCTAGGAATATTAGAGTGAGAAAGTATAAAGATGTTAATTTAGGACAGCTTATCATGGTTGTTATTCTAGAGGATATTTTAAATTTTCATTATATTACCCATTTCTTGTTACAGAAAAATTATGCATAAGAAATGATGCTTATGTGTTGCCTGTTCAAAGCCTAACTGCTACATGTCCTTTTCTGTACAGGGTCAAATTCAAGGAAACGTTGTTATATTTGCAAAATAACAAATTTTATTGGAAGAAGCCTTTGAAATTCTCTTGTGTTTCTCTCATCTTCAAATACCTCTCAGTCTCAAATACACTTCAGACGTCTGTGCTTCTTATCCCTGAGAACAAGGTCCTCACACCCTCCTTCCAGTTCTGTACCCACAGGTTCTCTTTTCTGCTTTCTGCCCCAACTTGGTTATTTGTTGTGTAATATCCGTAGCCTGTCTGGCTTTGCCCAAATTTTCTATTTGCCCATTACCCAGATTTTATTTGTAAGTGAGAGGCTAAGTTGACTTTCAGAGAGAGATGGGGAGAAAGGAACTTGGGAGAGTAAGTGAGGACTAGGGCAGGTGTGTATTTAGTCACTGAAACTTTGAAACATAGTATCTTTCCTTCCATCATAGAAATCTACTTTCTAATACATAAGATGATATTCAGAAATTATGAAAACACTGACATTTAGAGACAGTTTCCAGTTTCCTCCTTTAAAGTGGCTCTAGCATCCACACATGCTTACTTATTAAATGATGTATACTTTCAGAATTAAATCTATTAGATATCATTTACTATTGAGCTGTTTTTGCTTTTTTAGATCAAATGGCCAAAAGTATTGCCACTTTAAAATTTTAATTAATTAATTAATTTTTGGCTGTGTTGGGTCTTGGTTGCTGTGTGCAGGCTTTCTCTAGTTGCGGTGAGCAGGGGCTACTCTTCATTGCAGTGCATGGGCTTCTCATCACGGTGGCTTCTCTTGTTGCAGAGCATGGGCTCTAGTTGTGCGGGCTTCAGTAGTTGTCGCTCTGCGGGCTCTAGAGCGCAGGGGCTTAGTTACTCTACAGCAGGTGGGATCTTCGTGGACCAGGGCTCGAACCCATGTCCCCTGCATTAGCAGGTGGATTCTTAACCACTGAGCCACCAGGGGAGTCCCAGGATTGCCACTTTTAAAAAACATTTTCAGCCTGAGTAAATGCCTGAAGCTTTAGTATTTTACATCTCCATTTTCAGATTTTTAATATAGAATGAGTTATTGTTCTTTTGAAGTTTCACAATATTCATGATTATAATTACTGTAATCTGGCAAGATTATATCTGAAATTATCTATTTAACTATGTCATTATTGTATCTCATAGGGTTAAACTTAGTGTTGTTTGAATTTATCATTTAAAAAATATATATTTAATCCTAGGCTGCATGTCAGGTTTTTTAAAGTGCTCAGTATGAGTGATGACGATATCTTTACCCTAGAATATTTCAGTAGAAGATTTTACTGTTCTCTAAGTTATAAACTGCAAAAAAAGGTATTTGAGCAGGCTTATGACAGCATTTGTATTAAAAACAAGTAACAAAATAAATTACCTAAACATATATAAAGAAGAGAAATCGTATTCAAAGCTTAGAACACTGATATTTTTGATTTGGATAAAGATGGGACAGTTTAGACTTGGGTAAAGATGGTTGGTCAAGGGTGTGTGTGTGTGCCTGTCTGTTTTATCATAAGTAAAGTACTACATATATG